TGGCTGTGCATTGCAGAGGAATTTCCTATTAAAATTTATGTGCTTGATAAAGTCACTAAAATATTTATTTCTGTTGTAGCGTTGTCTAAATAAGTTATTAAGGATTTTTAACAAAGCTGTTTAAACGTTTCTTAATTTAGATTATTTTTTTAGGTGTGTAGTAGTGTTTTTTTTTTAGAATTAGTATAAGATTGACGTACCTTTGCTTTTCTTAACTTTTATGTATAAGAGACGATAAGTTTATTTTCAGTTGCTTAATTGTATCTAATATTGATAACGTAAGTCTAAACATTGTCTCTTTTTATGAAGCAAATCATAAAATTTATCTTAAATTCTTATATGTACTATATATATCTCTACTTTCAAATAAAAATTATTATATACAATATAACTTTTTTTTTGTATACAGTTTACTTATAAATAAGGTGTAAAAGATTTTATTTTATTGATACCTCTGATGCTTCGCAGTTTTCATGAATTTCTTGATATTATAATAAAAAAAATTTGAACGGAGATTTCCCTGATATTTTAATATGGTAAAATGATATGATATAGTATAGAATTTTAAGTGGATTAGTATATATTTTAAACTAATATTTTTACATGCAGGGTTTTATGTACCTTAAAAAGTATAACATTTGTGCTTCAATTTTATCGTGTCAAACACGTACCTGCCTGTGTAGAACTGTTTTGGAGTACTGAACGACACTTGGTTGACGAACTCAACGAGTGGCTCCGATATCTCGACCGGAACTTACATTAGTAAGGTTAAATATAAACGTGGAATAAAATAGCATTTCACACAAATGTCATATCCTCTTCGAGAGGTCTTCGGTTACACAGTACTTAATAGGGCCCGTCTAAAATTCCATAAGAAGAGCGACACAATGCGTAATAAACGAGTCCAATCGATTTTTGAACACTCATAGAAGCGGCTAGGTTTTTTCTGCTTGATCCTGGTTGACTTCAGTTTAAATACCACCTATCTTCCAATCCTTTCTCATTCTTAAATAGTTCCCTCCCACCTCTATATCAATACACATCCACACCTTTGTAATTCATTTTACTATGTAATTATTAAAATGAATACTTAAAAACAAAAATGAAATAAGTAAGTAAAAAAGTAATAATAAATCAATAAATAAAGAATTAAAGAAATCAATAAAAAATTAAATAAAAAATAAATATCAATTTTAAATAAAAATAAATATGAATTTATTAATAAATAAATAAAATCAATTTATTAATAAATAAATAAATCAATTATTAAATAATAATAACATCATTTATTAAAATAAAAAAATATAAATAAATAAATAATAAATATATAATATATAACCAATAAATGAATATTAAATAAATAAATAATAATTAATTTAATTAATAATAATTAAGAATTAATAAATAAATAATGAATATATAATAGATAAATAATAAATAAATACATAATAAATAAATAATCAATAAATAAATAAATAATAAATAAACAATAAATAAATAAATGATAAATAAATAATATAAAGAATAAATAAATAAATAATAAATATAAATAAATAAAATTAAAACAATAAATTATTATAAATAAATAATAAATAAATAAGTAAATAAATATATAATAAATAAATAAATGATAAATAAATAATATAAATAATAATAAATGAATTTATAATATATAAACAATAAATGAATAATAAATAAATTAATAATAATAATTTTATTTTTTTAAGGGCTAATTGGTCAATAGTTAAATAATAAACGTTTTAAAATAAATTTATTTGTTTTTAAAAGATTTAAAAATAAAATTTAACTATTCACCAATTAGCACGTAAAAAGCAAAATTATTATTAAATATTTTTTGGTCATTAAAACAATAAATTATTATAAATAAATAATAAATAAAGTGTAAATAATTAATTAATAATACATATATAATAAATAAATAATAAATGTATAATAAATACATAAATTAATAAATACTGAATAAATAATAAATAAATAAAAAATAAATAATAAATGATTACTAAATAAATAAATATTAAATAAATAATAATAAATAAATTTTTACTAAGGCAATTACATAGAATTTTTATATTAATTAAGATTTATCAAAGCAATAACCAGCGCCACTGATATATGTGCGCTGCTTAATATGATCTTATATATCTCACAAGTAGTAGTTTACTGTTTAAATACGACTGCTAGTACAAAAACCGAATGGATGACCTGAATCTATATAAACTATGTTCCTGCTATTATCAAGATATCATTTTTAATATTCACTGCAGTTATCCTACATTACAGTGTATTTATATTTCGTGCCGATCAGTGGCGTCGCTAGGCGTCAGCGATGTCAGGGACCGCCGACAGCCTCGCGCCCGTACGGGCCTCGCAAAAAATTACCGACTGTGGATTCTAAGCACTTAATAAATATTTTGAACAATTTGGTTTGATAATGGCATTAACCATATTCGAAGTATTCCCGACAATCGAATCAATGCCAAATGCAAATGTTTATTTTAATTAGATTAGCAATAAAACTTTAGTGAATGTAACTTACTTACTTTTACAACTGGGTTATAAAGGGGGCCTCACAATTCTGATGTCGCCTGACGTGCAGAGTTGGTCTAGCTCCGCCACTGGTGCCGATAAATGATTGCACGCTCAAATCAATTATAGATTTATAAGTTTTTGAAATTATCTTCAAATTTGTAACAGAAACAGTTAAGATCATAAAAATCCCTTATATAGAACTTGCATATATATCCTAATTCTTTTGTCATTAATTTAATAATAATTATTTTAATTAGTTTATTAATACAGTAGGATTAGTTAATCAATAAAATACTTCAATTTTTCAATTAAAAGGAAATTGGAATTTGATTCCAGAGTATACCAGAGTATAATTTTATATTAAATTTGGTTTTAACGCCAGTTATGACGGTAATTACCATTTTACTTAAAAGAAACTATTGTAATTAATAGAGATGTTTCTAAATGTAGTGAATTTTTAGCTGAATATATGCCCTTTAAGTGCTCGATGCCATCCTATATGTTTAATCCGAGAGAATTGCAATATTAGATTACTACTTAAAGTGAAGATAAAAAACACTTTAATGAGATAGATAAAATACTAGCATAAGTAAATACTGCTTTACTAAGATTAACAACATAGATTCTTAGAATACTTAGTGATTTTTTATTAAATGAAATTTCATAAACTATAATAGGCAACCATTCACTGAAAGTTCACCACATTATTACAGAAACGCACGTACTAAATCTTTGCTTAATTTATTATCCAAGTAGAGAAATATATAAAGTATTAAATAACTTATTAAACTATAGTAAGTAACCTTTTTTTATTTTAGAAAAATTTATTTATTGAAATTAGGTTCGGCAAGATTTCGTTTAAGTTAAGTTAGAATCAAAAGGCAAATATTGATGAGTACACCAACCCTTACCTCAGTAGCAACTAAATCGGTTTAACATTTATTATCTTAACTAAATCATATGAATACCACAATTTTCATTTTAGTGGAGTTGATTTTAAATGCATAATCTAAATGTATTTTATTAAAATTGCAACTTTTTCTATTGCAATATTTAGAAATTCCAATATATGATTAAAGATTAATATAATTAATAAAACATGACATGATTAATAAAAATCTAATAATATAACCTAATTTAATAAATAATAATCTGAATGAGATAATTCCAAATGTAAGGTCTATGACAGAAAAGAGTTTCGGCGAAAATGACTATTATGTCTGGTCATGGATATTTACGAAAATGTCTGTACAGAATACAACCTACCTGTATATACTGCGGATCAGTCGAGAACAATGCTGAGCATACTATCTTCAACTGCGAGAGAGGACATGGAGAAAGAACACTACTTGCAGTATATATAGGTTTATTCACAGTCGAGAATATCATTGAAAAATGATAGAACGACCAAAAAATTAAAACAAAACCACAGAATTCATCGGAAATATTCTGAAGGAAAAAAAGACCTGAACGCAAACTAATCTAAAATGAAGAGCAACCTTAAGACATTCCAATTTAGTTCAGGAGTGGGACCCTGGATGCATGTTTTACAAGAAGCCAACTTATAAGGATCCTCCATTAAGTAACGTGAAAGCGGTCTCGGCGAGTGAACTTCAGCAAAAATAAAGTGGGTGTTTTAGTACGTATGCCACACAATTGGAGTCGGACACACCATTCCGACAACGGTCAGTTTGACGGCGCATAAAGCATTTTTTTATGAAGTCGTAAGCAATATTTCATTTTCTTATAGTTTGTTAATAATTTTTATTATTATTAACTAATTTCATTTTGTGTTATATATAAATGTTTATCCAACGGTATTTACAAACTGCTTATGAGATGAAAATTAGTTTTTATTTATTTACTTAAAACCTTTAAGCAAAAGGTAATAGATAAATTACCTTAGATTTGGTGAATACAACACCTGATAAACTATGTTTATTTGGCCTTTCATTTTTACTTATTATTTAGCTTATTTATTTTATGTAAAAAAATTTTCATATAATCTATGCCATACCAAAATTTATACACTTAAAACTAAATCTAGTTTTTCATAACCTGATATAGAGAGATTTCAGAAAGTAGTAAACTAGAATAAAAAAAAATCTTTTTAAAGAGGTTTCTTCGAACAGTAGTGAACTAGAACAACAAAATTTTATTTTTTATATTATTTTAATTAATTGAACTTTTGGCTGACCATACAAGTATTGCCAAATACCCATCATCAGTGGTCTTGGAAATAATTCTTGTATTTAATTATTCGTAAATAATTATTTTTGAGACAGCAAGAACCAGGATTC